GGGCGCTGGGCTTGCTCCCGGCTCCGGTGGCGACTGGATTGTGGTTATCTAACCCTCACGGCTCGGGAAAGGTGTCAGGGGCTTGAGGAAGCAAGAAAGACCCTTTCCACTTAAGCCCCGGCACTCAGCAAGGTGCTGAGGAGCACTCAGGCATCTGCTGCTAGGGTCTTGCAGAGTGTCTCCTCTCTTCTGACGGTCGCTCCCTGAAACCTCGCCTTCATCCAGCTTATGCCCGCAGCAGGGTGTCAGCGAGCGACGAGCATCTTCCTCCACAGCTGTCCAAAGACCACCCAGGCCCCCTGGTAGCGGAGACAAGAAAGCAAGGCCTCCAAAAGCAGGACTCTAAAAGCTCTCGCCCAAGCAATAAGCCCCTCCGGTACCCCTGCTCCTGACTGCGGTGCCAGGGCAGGTCGCGTTAAGCCCACGCCGGGGTGGATGGCGCATGGAAGAGCAGAGACCTCGTCTCAGGCTGTCTCCCCGCCGCACGCTACCTGTACGACCTTAATTAGTCGTCTCCGTTCCTCAGCTGCAAAGAGGAGGTGCCGCCCCCACCCAAACCTCTTTGCTGATGAGCTCTGTGGGGCAGGTGCTGCTCTGCCCAGAGATGGACACAGCACCCAGCAGAGCGGGGGCCTGATTTCTGCAGGGGTCTGGGGGCACCGGTGTTTAGCATATTCCAGTTGTAGCTTCCTCGGCTTTCTGTTTAGGGTTTCTTTAAACTCTTTGGCTCAGGCTTGAATAGACTATGGGGGGCCTTTTGCCTCTGCAGCAGCTTGTAACTCAGGCCAAAGCACAGGTGCCCAAACTGCATTATCCTGAGCAGTGCGACGGGCGCCGTGAAATGAGTTGGTGGGTGCTCAAGGTATGCTGTTTAGTGCAGGCAGACCCTTCTTGACAGATTCAGCCGGAGAACCAAAGGATGCCAGCTCTGAGCTCTCGCCTTTTGTTGCTACCTCTTCAGATCTGGCTGCAAACAGATTGTCAGGCCAAAGTCTTTTGAGGAAACTTGTCCTGCCCCAGCTCCACGCTGAGCCTTGTCCTTGGCTACGCCTTTGCTCTCCAAGGCTAGCTCTCCCTCGTGAAATTTTCCTCAAAGCCTCCAGGATTTCTCTTGTCTTTTCCCCCT